CTAATAGGTCAAACCTCAATTGACCTTTTAAATCATTTATATGAAACTTATCAAAACATCTGCAGTTTACAAATGTCATTTATCATTCAACAAGGAGTTTCAAAACCTCTTCAAGATCTTAAACTCAAAGTTTAAATACTAAGGTCAAAGGAAATCATGACATGGTCTTCATGCCACTTTATTTACCACTGAAAATAACATGTTTTTATCTTTCATGGTGAGTATTTAACATTCTCTCTTGAAATGTTTGATTTTCTGAAAGTGACAATTTTAGAAAACAAGAGGCAGAAGGCCTGCATCGCTCAATAATGATAAAGCAACCATATGAACATAATCTTATTAAATATAATACTGCAACTATTTCCAAATAATGGCTCTGTCTTGCAGCAACACTCGTCCCTTATTGGAGTTCCTTCTTTCTATCCCCATGAATTTGGATGGATTTTAATAAAATACCTCCATTTCCCCCATTGTGTCCCGCCACTCTGCCCTAAGGGAAGGCATACCCTTCATCTATAAAAAAAATTGAGTCCCCTTTGCCTAAGGATACTCCACACAAAGTTTAATTTAAATCCCTAGAATCAAACTAAAGGAGATGGTTTTCTAATAGCTACCTCAGTTCTCCTATTAGGCCACGCCCTTTGGGGCATATCCTCTGTATATACAAAAGTGTCAGTCCCCTTTGCCCCAAGGATGCCCTACACAAATTTTTTAATCCTTGACCAACCATACTGAAGGGGAGGATTTTAAACACTTATTACTATTGGGCCATGTCCTTCTGCCCCCCAGGGGACTACAGCCTCTGTTTATACAAAATTGAGTCCCACATGCCAAAGGATGTTTTGGACAAAATTTTGTAAACACCCTTCAAATCAAACTAAAAGAAAATGATTTTAAAGATTTGCCTTTAGTTTTTCTATTGGACCAGCCCCTTTGCCCCTTAGGGTCCACATCCTCCTTTTACACAAAATTGAGTACCCTTCCCAAAGAATGCTTTGGATTGGACCCCATTTAGTCAAAGGTTTTGATAATGTCCAAGTTAAAATTCTTTTGGTCCTGCCCCTCAGACCCAGGGGTCAGCCCTTCAACTGGTACAATTTTGAATCCTTAACCACTGAATAATGCTCAAAACCAAATCTGGTTGATGAGTTGCTTTAAGCAATATGGCCGATCACCCATTTTGGCCACATCCCTCAGCCACCACGGGGGGCAATACCTTCAATTTATACAAAATTAAGTCCCTTTTGTTCTACACCAAGCTTGGTTCAAATCCCTCCATTCATACACAAAAAGAAGGATTTTAAACACTTTCCCTTATGGGCTCTGCCCCTCCGCCTCTAGAGGAGCCACACCCTCCATTTATACAAAAGTGAATTCCCCTTGCCTAGGATTTTTCTAGACTAAGTTTGGTTCAAATTCCTCTATTGATACATAAGGATAAGAATTTTAAATAATTAACCTAAATTTCTCTTATAATGGCCTCGTCCCTCATCCACCAAAGGGGTATTACTTCGTTTATACAAAATTGAGCTTAAGAATGCTCTACACAACATTTTGTTCAAATCCCTTCATTTGTACAGAAGGAGACTTTTAAATGATTTACCTAAATTTCCCTTATAAAGAAACCAACCCCATGTGGGCCACATTCTCCATTTATACAAAATCAAGTCCTCTTTGCCCAAGGATGCACTACACAAAATTTGGTTTGAGTCCCTCCATTCATACAGGAGAAGGATTTTAAACAGAAGGAGAATATCAAAGATTTACCTCAATTTCCCATATTTGGCCCTGCCCTCTTCCCTTCATTTATACAAAATTTAAACCGCTGTAGCTGAGGATATTCAAGGCCAAATTTAGTTAAAATCCATTAGGCCCTTCAGGACTGAGTAGCGTTTTAAGGGAAAGTTGACGTACGACAAGACGCCAGATGCCGTGGCATAAGCTCATTTAACCTTCCAGCTGGTGAGCTAAAAATTAAGTCCGATTTGCCAAAGGATTCTCTTGACCAAATTTGGTTAAAACAACTCCAATAATACAACAGAGAAGGATTTTTGTAGATTAACCTCAAGTTCTCCTATTGGGCTCTGCCCCCAGGGGATCATATCCTACACTCATACAAAATTGAGTCCCCTTTGCCCATGGATGCTTTACAAAAACATTGGTTTAAATCTCATCAATCATACTAGAGTGGAGGATTTTAAACACTTATCACTGATGTTACCCCTATTGGGCCCTGTTCTCTGCTCCAGGAAAACTACACCCTCTGTTTATACAAAATGGAATCCGACTTGCCCAAGGATGCTCTAGGCAAAATTGAGTCAAAATCCAATTAGCCATTCAGGACTAGGTGTAGTAGCATTTTAAAGGAAAAGTTGACGGATGGAAGCTGCACTAAGGCAAAGGCTCAGCTGCCCAAAAAAATTGTAATCAATGATGAAAACAAAGACCCATTTTAATCTACTTTATTGAATAAAATCTCTGCACTGTGACAACAGAACGACAACTTTCTGATTACATTTTCTAAAGAAAGCTTTATAAAGTCAACTACATCATATAACTATCTAAAATAACAGATTCTAAAATATATGTATACTGATCATAAAGAAATTCTCAGAAATGCTTTCTGTATCATACGTTTCCAAATAAATAACTTCAGGATCACAAATTCTTATCAGATGATATTGGTTTAAAATTCTAACATTGTACAAATTTATGTATAAGGTCAATAAATTCTTTTAGGCTCATGTAAAAAAAGAGAAAAAAAAGTTTAGAAGAAAATTTGAATTATATTTAATCTTTCATTAATCTAAGCAAGCTTTATATTATTGGTTTCTGAACATATAACCATTTATTATATCTTGTCTTACATAATATAGATATATAATAAAAAATGAAATCCATGCTCCTATTGTCCTTTTGCAAAGCATAAATTAACTAAGACATTTGCCAGCTATAGTTTCATTATGTTTTTGTCTAAAGTTTTAATTACATAATGCAGCTGTAAAAACAAATCCTTTTGTCTACGTTATGAGATGTTTACGCATCATCCTACAATGTGAATTCTGTGAATTCAAAATTATTTCTACATTCTGCAAAACACCCACATCCATATCTAAATTAACTTGTACAACAGTATTACATGTGTTTCACATTTAACTTTTGTATTTTACATAAGCATTTTATGTATGTATATGTCTCTCTGTACACTACAAGTTACACAAAGTTCAAGCAAACTACTAACTCAAGACCAGAAAGAACCCTGATAGCCAGGTGTAAATGAACCATTTTGAAAACTTTAAAGGTATTGTTGGAGATGCTCTTTCAAAGCAGTAAATGTAGTACACTGGAGTCACATTATGCTGATAAAACACACTGTCTGTACATACATCTTCATTGTATTTTTAATGGAAGAAAAATCTTTCAGAAATTCACCCATCTCTGATGCCATTTCTTGAGATGACTATCGATCAACAGTTATTGTCAAAACCTTGAAGAGACAGCACAGCATCTGGTAACCATGTTTCAACAGGACACAACTATAGTAAAGCCTAAGTTACAGACAACATTTTTTTTAAAAATTAATTTTTGCTTAAATTTTGGTTGTATTAAAACATGCAGTACAGACCGAACAGTTTGTGGACAGATTTTTCAGATCCCTCATCACTTTGGAAATTTGTATGAAAATGAAAATGCTTTGACTACCAGGGTTTCCCTATTTATGCAGAAAGGGTATACGTAGCTAGTATATTTGTCAGGTACAAGCTACTTATAGTACAGACACCAATACACTGAAATTACAGAACAATAGCTATAATGTATCCCTTCTTTCCACTACGAAACACAGCAATAGTAAACTCAAACATATATGATTATGTAAATTGACACTTTTCAACAGAAAACACAAGCGCATAACAGATAAACACTAAAGTTCAGACATCAATTTTTTTGCATGGTAGACACATCACTTTTTCAAGGCATGTGCATACAAAATATGAACTTTTTTTAACAGACGATGCAAGCATGTAAAGAAACCAGAAGAATATGACATTGTGATAAGATCATACGATCTACCAAGGAAATGAATTAAAATGTTAATAATTATAATAATACAAACCATTGAAGTGAATTGGAGTCCAAAGTAAGACCAGTTGCATAATAGAGACAGTAGGTCCGGTAGATTCAATTTAGTACATGTTTTTCACGACAGAAGGCGTATGTCTCAAAATCACTTTTATGAATATCCGATCTCATTAACTGAAGTAATACCAATAGCTTGCGGCTAACGCCTTAGCTAAAAACATAACAAGAGATCCCAAAGGGATCTTGGCACCCACCATTGTACCTTCTTCTTTAGTTCTATGTCAGTTCGATCTTTTCTCTTATCTGTTTGATTGAGTCATCTAAACAGTAAATGCACCTTGAGGTAACTATTGATCTAAACTTCATACTGCTGTATATAAAAGACAACCTTCAAAGTGAGTTTGTCATTTCACATATTTACTAGTACAGTACTTAATGTTAAAGAAATAGAACTGATCATTTCAACATGAGAAAGATCTGTTAAATTCACTCTCAAAAATAACACTGCAAAATTTTTAGAAAAACCCTCAAGTACTGTCTGAGAACTATTAAAATACAAGATGGCTGCCTGTTGAACATTTGGTTTAGTCCATTAGTCTATAAAGTAAAAATGCATAGTTAGGACCAAGGGCAACCTACATATCAAATTTGAGAAAGATCAATCCATTACTTTCTGAGAAATAGCCATAACAAACCTGAACTTTCAAAATCCAAGATGGCCACCAGTCAGCTATTTTGTTCATGCACAAGAGACCTTTTAGGGGAACAATTGAGAAAGATCCCGGCCTACAGTACTTCCTACGAAATAGCGATAACAAACATTCACTGTCAAAATCAAAGATGGCTGCCTGTCGGCCATTTTGTGTATCCGATTAGTCTCAAAAATAAACATGTACACCTATATATATAGCTAGGGACCAAGGGGAAACTTTTTATCAAATTTGAGACAGATCCCTTTAGTACTTCCTGAGAAATAATGATAACAAGAATTGTTTAATGATGAATGGACGGACAACGGACCAAAGACAAAGGGTGATTTGAATAGCCCCCCATTAGAATGTGAGGGTTGATATAATTGATAGAATTAAAACACAAGCATATACAACATAAACATTAAACATACACATCAGGATTAACACCTTGTTTTCAACAGGCATATGCATAAAGAACAAAAAACACATAAATATAAGGACTGACATGTTTTACCATGAGACAAGTGTATATAGCCTAAACATAAAGCATATACCTGTATATGATTAAACATGCAGCACATAACGCGCTCAGTTAACACTGATGTAAATACAATGTTATGTAGAACACTTCATATTGTCATGAAGTTAAATTTGATAAAACGAATTAGAAATTTTAAGAAAAAATTATATAAAAAAATATGAGGACGGTTGGATTACTCTTGGTTACATTTAAGTAATACTGATTGGTGAGCATGACTAGTTACTATGGTAACAGATGGAGTTTTTTGTATTTACAGGACAGATGACAATCATCACATACCGGTACATGTAAAATATGACAGATCATTCAATAATTATCATTTTAAGCATAAAATATGAGCAAATTTTAACACTTTTTATCTTTAAGCATAAACTATGAGCAAATTTAACAACTAACAGAATATATATATATATATTTAATATAACAAGTGAAAAAAAAAGTCAAAACCACACTTAAACAAATACACCAAAGGAAAGGAAAAACATTGTAAATTTTTTACTAACTTTGCCAATTTAGTTTTTAATAATAGTTTGAGAGAATTGTCTTGAATTGAAAAAAAAATCTTCTCAACATATATCAGTAAGCTATAACAAACATTACTACCACACACCACACTACCCTGTATCATTCTTGGGTACTGTAAACCAGCATCCTTTAGTGGTAGGTTATTTTAGTGGAAAGTATTCAGGAGAAATCCTGCTTATGTTTTCCACCAGGTTTGAAATCAAACACATTTCATTTTGTTTCAACTATTAGTCTGCTTTAGACCTGAATACTGAACCAAAATTCAGGTTCAATGTAAATACCAATACATACTAATTGGATCTTTATATAAAGATAACAAAATTCCAAGTAGGTAAGAGAAATAAAATCATCAAATGCAACATTTCTATTACATGTATTACAATTGTATATTCTACCAGTGGTAAGACCATTATCATTGATAAGACCATGTTCAATATTAGGCCCGCCTTTAAGTTTTCTAACTGATCTACATATCATTCTTTCTTAAAGGCTTATTTCTGAAAATAGGCCTGCAAATCATTTACTTTCTTTTGAAAGATCAAGCACTCGAGGCTAATGACCAATAACACATGACAATATTCAGAATGCTTTTAACATACTTATATAAAGTGACCATCAACTATATCTCATTAATTACATGGCTGGTTTAAATACCTCTTTTCATTTCCCTTCATTGTTAAAACAAATATAAAAAAAATCTATGTAATGTTCATTTTTACTTTAACTAAAGATATACATAAATATATACAGTTTTCCATACTTTTGCAATTTTACTGAATGGTTTATTTAAAATATGAATATACAATTATTCTTGAAATATTTGCAGAAAATAAGAGAATTCCACAAGGAAAGTCACACGTAATGATTTAATAGGCTGCATTGTAATCCAAGGAGGTTTACAGAAAATCCCCCCGGTGGTGTCATGAGATGGGTATGGACAGAAGACTGCTCACCCGAGGGATACCAAAGTGCCCAGTGCCTAACAGCAACATAGATTAGGTATGTACCATAGTATGCAAATTTGATACTCAACCAGACATATCCTCTTATATTGAGCTAAAATAAGGTTAACACATAGATATGTGTTTAAGCAACAAAGATTATGGAAATATAATTTAAAAAAATAAATTTCTTGCGTGGATCTAATTTTGCACTTTCCTTACTTAGCTGAAAGTTGAACTAAAACTACCTGATGGCGTTATTTTCATTTCCATATATGATAAATCCATTTTAAACTACATACTAGTAGTGTAATTGTTTTTAGATATGTGAACAGATTAAATTAAACTTATTATTTTTATCATGTAGTTTAAATACAGATTTAAAGAATTTCAGGTCTTTTACGACATTTGGTCCATTATGTTATGATCAATACTACAAACTGAATTGCTTTAGGCACCTTAGCCCTGTTATCTTGTAAATGTTATTTTTAAATATTAACAAATAAAAAATTGAATGTCCTAAATGGTGCTTTAATTAATTAGATAATTGAATACCTTTTTAAATTTTTGATTATACATTCATTTAAATGTATAACATATTTTGTTTTTCATCATTTTGTTATATGTGCTAAAAACACAAACTCCTGCCATTCATTAAGTGTGTTAAAATAATTCTAGCAGTATTTACATGCCAGGTAAACAGAACTAGATTTGGCTTTCTATGAATATTATCATCTGAAATTTTGGCAAATTGTACATGCATCAATAAATCTAGCAGGATAATGGTTGACATGCCCTGTTCCCATCCATATTATATAAATATATATAAGCCATGCAGGGGTGGGGCCACACTAGCTAAGTGGGCGGGGCAAGGCAAACAATAGAACGTTGCCAGACAAGTAATTAGGGGGTGGGGTTGCAGCACTACATTACGTGTGACTTACCTCATATTCCTGATTGGTATTGTTGGTCAGATTGGACACGACACTTGCTTTGTCATCATACACATTAAGATCATCATCTAAGTTCACATCTAAATGTTGATGTGATATCAAAACATCTGATCCTTTCCTGGACACTGACCGAGATGTTGACCTTGACCTAGAACTTGACCTCGATGATGACCGACTGGAGCGAGACCCACTGCTGCTGATGCTGCTGCGGGAACGACGACTATGCTTCCGTCTATTTTTCTTAGAGATCGGGACCTCATCATCGTTATCAGAATTTCTTGTGTCAGAGTTTTTGCGGAGTTCTTCAGCCTGGCTGAGGAATTTGTTACCCCGGGCAATTTCTTCTTCTAGTAAAAGGATATCTGACTCTTCAATGGGCCAGCCGGCTGTGTCTAGCGCCTTTATTAGCACCAGACGATTGTTATCAAATGATAATGGCTCATCAGACCCAAACCTAAAAATATATAATTGATTCTGATATACAAATATGTTCCTTTCTCCAATAAACACTAGGTACAACAAAGGAATCAGATTAGATGATATCTAAGTCCATGGTACAACTGATCAAAACATAAGGAAATACAATAAACATGTAATCAATATAATATGATCCAATCTTTTTATTCACACTATATCTTTCCTGGACACATTTCATTAATGGCAGGCGTTCATGTCAAACACCCCCCCCCTACAATTTGGCACCAATGACGAAGGACATACAATATATACTTTAAAAGCACTAGTTCTAGCACTAATCTCATTTTAGCACCCACCACGTCAAGGATGCACTAATAGTGTTTTGACTCTCAAACTTCTAGGGAACATTTGACTTCTGAAACTTCTAAGGGTTCACTCCTTCTTGATTTCAGTAAAGTCGAGTTTTACTGTTTATATAGTAGTTCAAACATGCATTAACTAGCCACAGGCATAATATGAAAAGGAAAAGCCTAAAAAGAGCGTTGCTTTTGTTGATCTCTGATATTGATTCATTCAGAATGAGATAATACTTATTTCAGAATGAGATAAGTTTTATTTAAAGTCGGCAAGTCGAGGAATAACAATAAAATACAAGCTTTAATGAGATTTTAAGACCGACATAACAATTAGGGGAGACCTGGGCAAGTTCGACCCATTTTTATTAAAGTCCGGTCTGGGAAGTATGACAGCACATCCGTTTTTGAAGAAATTTTAATTTTTCCTGTCGGAAGATCGGATGGCTGAAGGAGCCCCGCCATGGGGTAAGTTTGGACAATCATTCGGGTAAGTTCGGCCCACATTGGAATCGGCTTAATTATGAAGTCATAGAGCATGCAACATAAAATTTTCTTACGACTTTTTCATGTGTTGCATTGGCCGAACTTGCCTCGGTATCATGGCCCGAAAATGTCCGGGCCCAAATTGATATTTCAATAACTTCTTATAGTACAGCAATATGATAGTTAGTGCTTGGCTTGGCTTTTATGTATATCACTTGAAGCTGTCAGTGTTTGACACGTTTGACCGTAAAAAAGTAGCAATTCCTTTTACAGAAAGTTTGCACATAACTAGAAAGATGCGAGATCATGATTTTCTTTCTACCCTCTCAACAGTAACTTACTCCTGTTTAGTAATTTAACATTAGAGTTTTTCTCGCCATTTTTTCGTGTGGATGCCCATGCAGTCAAATAAACTGCTAAGATCCTTAAATCAGGGGTGGCCGAACTTGCCCCGATCTCCATTTGTAGATTTTTTGTATCATAGATGATCGGTAAAAATGTATTCAAAATATAGTTTTGCATCAATGATGCCATTTTCTTCAAGTCAAAGCTAAAGTAGATATTTGTTCTTGCGCATACTTATATACTTATACTTCATCGTTATATGCTGGGTTGGTTGGTGGAGTGCATAGCGCGCTCGTCTTCACCAAGATATTATCCTTATTTAGTATGGAGCATCCTTGGGCAAAAGGGACTCAATTTCGTATAAACATCGAGTGTGGCCCGGGGCCCCCCTGGGGGCAGAAGGGAGGGGCCCAACAGGGGAAACATAGCAAATTCTTCAAAATCCTTCTTCTTCTGTAGGAATGACAGGATTTTGTCCAAATTTGGTATGAAGCACCCTTGGGTCAAGGGGAACTATTTTTTTTATAAACAGTGTGTCTGACCCCCTGGAGGCAGAGAGGCGGGGCCCATAGGGGAAATAGAGGAAAACCTTTAAAATCCTTCTTCTTCCATAGGGATTAAGGGATTTTATGGGTCCTATGGGCCAGGTGAGCTAATAATGAAGATTGTTTTTACTAGATGTAGATGTTCATGTGCGCGTTGAAACATAATTGTCTTTGCTTCAAGGATACACTTTTGGTTTCCCCAATGGAAGGCTACTTCCGGACGACAAAAAATAAGGCCAATGTGTAGCAAGGGGAGGCATCTCTGTTTACGCATGCATGTGTTACCATTTAAGAGCTTTGCTCTTATTAATAACTCAGTACAAACATTGAAATTAAAAAAAAAAATACTGCAAAATGCATATGGGATTGGTATCAGCATGATGCAATGATTGGCCCGATTGTGTAGGGAATTTTTTGTTTTAGTCAATCAGAGGCCATAGTAGCCATCTTGAATCACAATTACATATTCAGCGTTTAATACATGCATTGATTATATGCCTTATGTATCACTTGAACAAAGCATGAACCTAACACACACAGAGGTGGTTGCATCTTTAAAATTTGGTAATAGATATAATAAGTCAAAACTGAGTTTCACTGCATCTTATAGCTGTAAACGTTACTGTCTCAGCCAGTCAGAGAATAGCCATCTTGAATGCCAGAATTTAAAAGGAGACATAGGGGAAAAGGCCAAAAGCCAAATGTAAATGTCATAATGGGGTTTGGGGGGTGGGTGTATATAATGTAAATGCCATAATGGGGTTTGGGTGTATATAATGTAAATGTCATTATGGGGGTTGGGGGGTGGGTGTATAAAATGTAAACATCATAATGGGGTGTGGGGAGTGGGTGTATAAAATGTAAACATCATAATGGGGTGTGGGGAGTGGGTGTATAAAATGTAAACCTCATAATGGGGTTTGGGGGGTGGGTGTATATAATGTAAATGTCATAATGGGGTTTAGGGGGTGGGTGTATAAAATGTAAATGTCATAATGGGGTTTGGGGGGTGGGTGTATAAAATGTAAATGTCATAATGAGATTTGGGGGTGGGTGTATCAAATGTAAATGTCATAATGAGGTTTTGGGGGTGGGTGTATATAATGTAAATGTCATAATGGGGTTTGGGAGGTGGGTGTATATAATGTAAATGTCATAATGGGGTTTGGGAGGTGGGTGTATATAATGTAAATGTCATAATGGGGTTTAAGGGGTGAGTGTATGAAATGTAAATGTCATAATGGGGTTAGGGAGGTGGGTGTATATAATGTAAATGTCATAATGGGGTTTAAGGGGTGAGTGTATGAAATGTAAATGTCATAATGGGGTTAGGGAGGTGGGTGTATATAATGTAAATGTCATAATGGGGTTTAAGGGGGGAGTGTATAAAATGTAAATGTCATAATGGGGTTTGGGGGGTGGGTGTATATAATGTAAATGTCATAGTGGGTTTTGGGGGATGGGTGTATAAAATGTAAATGTCATAATGCGGTTTGGGAGGTAGGTGTATAAAATGTAAATGTCATAATGGGGTTTAGGGGGTGGGTGTATATAATGTAAATGTCATAATGAGGTTTTGGGGGTGGGTGTACATAATGTAAATGCCATAATGGGGTTTGGGTGTATATAATGTAAATGTCATAATGGGGTTTGGGAGGTGGGTGTATATAATGTAAATGTCATAATGGGGTTTAGGGAGTGGGTGTATAAAATGTAAATGTCATAATGGGGTTGGGGGGGTGGGTGTATAAAATGTAAATGTCAAAATGGGGTTTGGGGGGTGGGTGTATATAATGTAAATGTCATAATGAGGTTTTGGGGGTGGGTGTACATAATGTAAATGCCATAATGGGGTTTGGGTGTATATAATGTAAATGTCATAATGAGGTTTTGGGGGTGGGTGTACATAATGTAAATGCCATAATGGGGTTTGGGTGTATATAATGTAAATGTCATAATGAGGTTTTGGGGGTGGGTGTATATTATGTAAATGTCATAATGGGGTTTGGGGGGTGGGTGTATATAATGTAAATGTCATAATGGGGTTTGGGAGGTGGGTGTATATAATGTAAATGTCATAATGGGGTTTAGGGGGGGGGTGTATAAAATGTAAATGTCATAATGGGTTTTGGGGGGTGGGTGTATAAAATGTAAATGTCATAATGGGGTTTTGGGGGTGGGTGTATAAAATGTAAATGTCATAAGGAGGTTTGGGGGGTGGGTGTATATAATGTAAATGTCATAATGGGGTTTGGGGGGGGGGTGTATAAAATGTAAATGTCATAATGGGGTTTTGGGGGTGGGTGTATATAATGTAAATGTCATAATGGGGTTTGGGGGGGGTTTGGGGGGGGTATAGATAATACATCAATATGAAGTACATACCCATCCTTTGTGTCCTGTGAAAGGGCTTCCCAAACTATCTTGTCCAGTCGTCTGTATAACAAACAAAACACTTTATAATGATTGATCTGCAAGTGAAAATACCATTTCATTCCATACAAATTCCCTTTCTGGGATTTTTTGCGAAGTACTTTAACTCTAAGGGACACTTGTGTCAAAAATGTCAATATTGAATAAAAACTTCATTCATGTGGCGACAGAATTTATTATCCAGCTAGAAAGGATTTTCATGCTGGTCTAAAATCTCATACCTTCAACATTCATATCAGTGTGTGAGTTTAAATTTCATGTGGTACTAATAAGGAAAATATTCCCCACTAAATAACTTGAGCAATTGTGTTGAAGAAGTTATGTATTTAGCATGGAAGTAAATTTTATCCATTTATACTATATGAAAAATGGAAAACTCGGGCCTTAACTGTATAATAACAAGTTCTAAGAAATTTCAAAATACAAACATGAAGTCATGTTCTAAAAATAAAATTCATATAATTGGATTATTCCTCTGTGTTGTCCTACGCTCCTACGGCATTATTTCATGATATTTCAGCGAGGGACTCTGTATACGGAAGTATCCACGGCAGGAATTGTCGAAAAAAAACACCAATCTAAGTGTAATCTTACGCAAAATAACACTGGGTTTTGAATATCAAGCATGTGTATGCTCATGGGCCAATTACAGCCCTACTGAATTATAAGTAAATCACTCAAGGGAGGTTGGAGACACAACGTCCCTTATAAGTCAAATTTGGTTCTGTTCCGACAATTCCTGCCGTGGATACTTCCGTATACAGAGTCCCTCGCTGAAATATCATGAAATAATGCCGTAGGAGCGTAGGACAACACAGAGGAATAATCCAATCATATGATTTTAATGAAGACTGTTGTTTACATGTTTCGACTCGAAGGCGAGCCTTCATCAGAACCCATTGAATTATAGGTAAGCGAAAAACAATTTCAACATATATTAGTATACACTTCTGTTTAAATTCAAAATGATAAAAAAATGAAAACGTTGAAGAATTAAGAACTTATGACATGTAAATATACCTTTTGTAGAGGTTAATAGCTGACCGGACTTTCGCCTCGTAGCCCTTGAGGTCCACGGCCAGTGGATTGACCAGTGTGATTTTCTGTCTGCTGCGGGATGATACATGGGCCAGTGGTAAAACCTATTAACAGAAACCAGAAAATCTTGTACAACACATTCTTAACAGCTATCCCTGATGTGTAGCAGTTATATTTCATCACATATTGAAACTATCATAAAATCAAGGCAGTTAAGGTCTACTGCCCACTGCAAACTTCATTCAATTACAATACAATCAAAGTTTGATGATACAAAATTACAATACTATAGAGAACGTGACCATATAGAGTCCTGTGACTTTATCAGTCAGTCATACTTTGATATTGTCAATAAATTGGATTTACAGTATGATTGCACTGTTAAAACAATTATAAAAGTGGTTTAAAACAAATGTATGCAATAATATGAGGTATTAACTTCTTAAAAGTATGAAGGGGTTCTTTATTCATTAGACCCATGCACTTACCCCATCAAACACCTTTGCAACCACATGCTTGTCCAGGATTGGCACATATTTGGCGCTGTGGGAAACGAAAGTCGGCGCAAGTGCGTCCAGTATGGTAAGTTTCTTGGCCACCAGACCATGCTTGCTAAGCCACATCTTGGATGACATGGAATGAGGTCTAAGTAAAAAGAAGATCAGCATGTACAAATAATTAAGAGATCCCGGAGGGAGCTTGGCGCTTATCATTGTACCATCTTCATTAGTTCTATGTCAGTTTGATCTTTTCTCTTCTTTTCTCTTGTCTGTTTGATTGAGTCATGAATACAGTAAATGCACCTTTAGGTAAACTTTTAATCTTAACCCTTTCACCACTGTAGACCATAATGGACTCATCCAGATCAATGTATCGCAGAGTCTACTAAAGTTACCTAGTGGTGAAAGGGTTAACTTCATACTACTGTGTATAAAAGACAACCTTCAATGTGAACTTGCCATTTCACATATTTACTAGTACAGTGCCTAATGTGAAAGAAATAAAACTAATCATTGCAATATGAGAAAGATCTGTAAATTTTTTCTTGTGGCCATCTTGTTTTTATGATCTTTGTCAAAATAAAACATGCACAACTAAAGACCAAGGGGAACCTACATATCAAATTTGAGAATGTTCTGAGAAATAGCGCTTACAAACTTAAACTCTAAAATTTCAAGATGCTTTTCAAATCAGTTCCAAAATTTGATATGCATAACTAGGGACTATGGGGAACCTTAATAGATTTGAGAAATATCCGTCCTGTAATTTCTGAGAAACAAACTATAACTCTGACAATTCAAGATGGTGTCTGTTGGCCATCTTGGTTTTTCTATCAGTCCAAAAATTTGATATGCATAAATAGGGTCCATGGGGAACCTTCACGTGAAGTTTAAACTAGAGCTGTCTCCAAGGAGGATGACAAGTGCATACACATAAATTGTATAATGACCATGGAAATGTCATTGTCTGTATTAATAATAAAATTGGTTTAAATTCTTGATCCCATTGCTTTTTGATTTTGTGATTTCGGTGTGATCACAGTCACATACATGCTTCAGTTTCTAGGCGTATACAAATCACTGAGAAGATTGCAATCAGGATATTATAATAAAACAATGCAGAAACGAAAAGATATTTCCAGAATCAGCAGAAATAAGACAAAATAATACAGTAAATAGGCAAAATTGTAAGGCATATTTTTTATATTAAAATTGTAAGAATAAGGCCAAAAGAGGCAGGGATGACCTCTGTATTACCAGGTACTGCCACTACACAAAAAGTTTCAAAAAATCTATTAAAAAATGAGCAAATAAAAAGCCGGACAAAGTTTTGTCAATTTTAATTTTTACGTAAAGGGGCATAAACTGTCTTAAGGTCTGAAACACAAAATTACTTAAGGGGCACAACAACATATGATACTGTCACTACACAAAAAAATCAAAGAAAACTATTGAAAAAAACACCTCCCCCCCCTCCTCCCAACTTCATTGCGGGCGCATAAAAAGATCCCTCAAGTACTTTCTGAGAAATAGCACAAACAATAGGAATTGTTTAAGGACGGACAGAATGACAGACGGATGATGGACCAAGGATGAAGGGCGATTCGAATAACCCATAAATAATGCCCAGTAATGCTTAGTTTCACAGCTACAACGAGGTCTATTAAGATATAAAGAAGTTATTGTTGTGAGTAATTACTTGATGTTTTTCTTTATCTTGCTCCTTCTGCTGCTGGTCTTTCGGGTTTCATCTGTAGAAAAAAAAAAAAAAAACACTCTTAAAATACAATTGTCAAGCATTTTACAACCAATTTACATTATAGCTGATCATGATTGACAAGTTTCTGTGAAAGATGCAAGATTGTTCAATTTGCTGTAATTAAAAACATTTTTAGTACTTTGACTCCTATGTAAGAGAGATAATTTGATTAAAAAGCCCAACAGGCAATAAGGTCATTCCACAAGAATTAGGGCAATACCGTGGAGAATTGCTAAAATAGTCTTCCACAAATTCATATGATATATCATGAATTTAGACAATAGTTTGGTAAAATAGTCTTTAAATGAAATAAAACATTTTGAAGAACTTCTGTTACTGTGAGTGTAAGAGTGAAACCTTTTAACCAATACAACTGTGTACCAATAAATAGGTATGTGTACACTATACAATGAGTACCTAATGTCATGCTTTACATGTACAGTTGTGATCAAGCCTAATGTGTTTGATTTAAATGGATAAAGCCACTGCTACACACATGTATTATATACTGTTAGGACAGACTATACAAAACAAACGGACCACGGCAAAAAGTGGTTACATAATAGATTCTTATTTTAGTCATATACTTGTCACAGCACCCACTTTTTACATACAGATTCATTTTTTTTTTTCCATTCATATGTTGGTGATCACAGCACCACCTGGGTCACTCAGTATAATACGACCTTAATATAGTCCATAACACATTTGTACTTCAAGAAACAATTTTCCACCCTATGCATTCATTAGCAAACTATAAACTGTTGAAATTAACTCTTCAGTGTATAGCTCATTAAAATTTGAAAACTATCACATGCTTGAACATTTTTGGATTTGCATGCATTGCCAGAAACAATGTTATGTTATCTTTTAGTGCATGCATGTTCTAACAATCACCATGCATGTTCTAACAATCACCATGCATGTTCTAACAATCACCATACATTTTCAAAAGAAAAAGGAGGGATTTCATGTTAGTTTTAATGTCTTTCCTATTTGAAGTTTTTTTCCTTCTTCCTTTTTTGAGGAACTCTGAAACCTGAATGATCTCCCAAAATTCAAAGTGAAGTCTTCATGGTTTAGCAATCTCAGGATTATGAAGTTCAAAAGTATATTGTATGTCATAACTTAAATCAAGTATATTGTATGTCATAACTTAAATCAGGACTTTTCTATTGGGTTATCAATTATCCTTTGATAAAATGTTCTCTTTAAACCTGTATCAAGTTTTAAAATTGTTTAGTTTTAAATCACATATAAACCAACACAATTAAACCTGACTTTACTAACATCAATAAGAGGACTGGTCAAAAGTGGCAGTGTACCAGAAAATTCATGAATATATACAAGAAATCTCATTTTTTGGGGACATATTAGTCACATACACTACAGTGTCTAGCTGACACCTTGTGGTATACATCATAATTATCAAATAAGACGGGATATCAGATCAAACACATTAACTATTAGACTGTTGGATTAGGCATGATGTGAGAATACTCAAGTGTCAGATTAGACAAGACTGTATTTCAGAAAGCCCTTGTTTTGACCTTCTGACCTTTACAAGAAACTGTAGAAATGTTACCAGTTCTTAGTGACAACTTCATTGCTAGATAAACACACATGAGCTCCCTAGATGAGAATAAGTATTTATGATACATAAAACATTTCCTCACTAAATTTTCACCCTTTGCCTTTCAAAACCATCTTAACATGAGTGGGCTTCTTAAACTGTATACTTAACTTAGTAACTATTAACATCCTACACCTCTTCCATTTATAAATATTCCATTCCCTTTGCCCAAAGATTCTCTAGAACAAGTTTGGTTAGGTTAAAATCCCTTCAACGGTTCAGAAGGAGAAGGGAGAAGGATCTTTGATGTTTTCCTCTATTTCCCCTATTGGGCCCCACTCATCTGCCCAAAAGAAGGGGGTCCGCACACCTCAGTTTAAACAAAATTGATTCTTTTGTCCCTAAGCATGCTTCAGACTGCATTTGGTTTAAATCCCTTCACTTGTATAGTAGGAGAAAAAAATTCCTCTATTTCCCCTATTGGGCCCCACCCCTATGCCCCCAGATGGCCCACACCCTCCGTTTCTACAAACTTGAGGCTCCTTTGTCCAAAGATGCTCAAGAACAAATTTGGTCGAAATTCTTCTATTGGTTGAGAAGAAGATTTTTAAAGATTTACCTATTTTCCCCTATTTGGCCCCGCCCCTCTGCCCCCAGGGGCTTCATACCCTCCATTTAAACAAAACTGAGAACCCTTTGGCCAATGATGCTCCAGACCAAATTTGGTCAAAATCCCTTCATCGGTACAAAATGAGAAGGATCTTTGATGTTTTCCTCTATTTCCCCTATTGGGCCCCACTCATCTGCCCCAAAGAAGGGGGTCCGCACACCTCAGTTTAAACAAAATTGATTCTTTTGTCCCTAAGCATGCTTCAGACTGCATTTGGTTTAAATCCCTTCACTTGTATAGTAGGAGAAAAAAATTCCTCTATTTCCCGTATTTGGCTCGGCCCCTATGCCCCCAGATGGCCCACACCCTCCGTTTCTACAAACTTGAGGCTCCTTTGTCCAAAGATGCTCTAGAACAAATTTGGTCGAAATCCTTCTATTGGTTGAGAAGAAGATTTTTAAAGATTTACCTATTTTCCCCCTATTTGGCCCCGCCCCTCTGCCCCCAGGGGGATCATACCCTCCGTTTATACAAAACTGAGAACCCTTTGGCCAATGATGCTCCAGACCAAATTTGGTCAAAATCCCTTCATCGGTACAAAATGAGAAGGATCTTTGATGTTTTCCTCTATTTCCCCTAATGGACCCCACCCATCTGCCCAAAAGAAGGAGGTCCGCACACCTCAGTTTAAACAAAATTGATTCTTTTGTCCCTAAGCATGCTTCAGACTGCATTTGGTTTAAATCCCTTCACTTGTATAGTAGGAGAAAAAAAATCCTCTATTTCCCCTATTTTGCCCCACCCCTCCGCCCCCAGAGGGGCCACACCCTCCTTTTCTACAAACTTGAGTCTCCTTTGTCCTTTTAAAGGAAAAAGTTGCCGGACGCCAGACGCCGGACACTGGACGCCGGGGCATGGGATAAAACAAACAAATCATGAGCATAAAAGGGTGAAAATTTGCCATTACACAAATTAGATCAATGATTGTTTGGAACATATCACAGTAATTAGCAGGCCGCCATTCACATTTATATATATCAGACACAGATGTTCAGGTTATGTTGTATGATAATCACACACAGGTCACAAACTAAGCAGTTACAGACTACTAACTCAGCAAAGTACAGTGGTGTCAGTCACAAAAACAGCCATCATGATGATTTAAAAATAATACATCATTCTTTGTCTAGAAACCTTTTTTTTTTAAAGTTCTCAAAAATTATATCAGTCTGATGTGGCAATAATTTTAATAAGTCTTAAAGTTGGAAATTAAAAGTTAAAATTAAATATTTCTATAATAGTATCTTAAAATATCGGAAATAAGATGACAAAATGCCACTAACTCTAATTAGGCACTGGATTCTAGTGTGAACTTTGTTTTTCCAAATCAGAATAAATTACGATAATTTTACACAAAGAGGAATTTATGCAAAATATAAGAATTGTGGTGACCTCTATATCATATATAGATTTTCCCAGATGCCTATATTTTGACTAAAGTTATAAATCTTGTATTTATCCTGAATGTGCCCTTAATGATGTGACAGGTTGGACACAAGAAGAATAAGATAATCGAGTTGTATAGGCATGGCAGAGTTTTACACTGACACCATGATACTATGCTGAGTTGGGTCATTAGCATATAGAACAAGCAATAGACATTTCAGGACATGTAATATACCATTTTCTTCCAAGATGTAGGGAGACATGTCATAGCGCTGTAACACTGGAAACAAATGGTCAAAGTCATCCAAACTGACCAGCATTGTTGTCAAGCTGACCACAGACCATGGACACTGATATCTAGCTTACAATATGTATACCTTATTGGACCTTATAAGTGCATAGTGGGATAAAAACTATGATAGGTAATATATAATTGTTAAGTTTTGTGAGTGATTTTATTTCGCAAAAGAAGAGCAATTCATGAATTCAAGCACATTGTAAATGTTTTGCACTTTTGAAAAGGAAATATAAGAAAGAAATACACATATGTTCCAAAGTGCAATGAAGGACAAGGTTGATGTTTCCTTATATAAGACAGAAATAAATATTAGAAAAGGTCAAGAGAGCCTGTATCTCTCATCTGGATAATTAAACAACATTGGCTCTGTCTAATCTCTCATTGGTTCCTTTCTTTCTTCGCCCATGAATTGGAGTGGATTTTAAATATTTCCTTGAAGTTTCCCTATTGGGCCCGCCACTCAGCCCCACAGGGGTTGGGGGATAACCTCTATTTATATAAAATTGAGTCCCCTTTACCCAACGATGCTGCACAAGATTTGTTTAAAATCCCTACAGTTGTACTGAAGGAGGAGGTTTTTAAACATTTATTACTATTATTACTATGTCCCCGCCCCTCGGATCCCAGGGGCCCACACTCTCTGTTTATACAGAATTGAGTCCTATTTGCCCAAGGATGCTTGTTCTAAACAAAATTTGGTTTAAATCTCTGATATCAAACTAAAGGAGAAGTGTTTTAAAGATTTACCTCAATTCTCCCTATTGCCGCCGCCATCCCCCCCCCCCACCCTCTGTGCCATACCCTCTGTTTATACAAAATTCAGTCTTGCCCAAGGATGCGAATGCTATACACAAAATTGGCACCACCCCTCTACCCCTAGGGGGGCCACATCCTCCATTTATACACAGTTGAATCCTCTTTGCCAAAGAACTTGCTCCGGACCAAATTTGATTAAATTTCCTTCAATAATACAGAAGGATTTTAAACATTTACCTTCATTTTGTCCTATTCGGCACTGGTGAGCTAAACATGTATTCATATTAGAAGATATGTTTGCTTATTCTACCCCTGATTTGTAAAATTAAACCTTTATATCCAGCAAATTTGCAACTGTACAGTTCACCTCCTGCAGTTGCTTGAGATTTTAATGTATATTTCTTAATATAATATTGTTAATAAATAGACTGAAAATCCTTTATGAAGACAAACAACTCAGTGGCTCAAATGCAGGGGATAATAACCAAAGTATGTGCACTTATAACATCAAATACGGTAAGTGTGCAGCACAGTCAGAATCCATAAAAAATACATAAGTTTTTCAAATCAATAAAAACTACAGTTATAAAATTTGGAGATTTTTGTTGACTTCAACAAAGTTCACCACTGAGAAAAATATTTTCAAACATGAAAGTGAATCTTTACTTCAAATTCTGCTTTTAATAAACTATAGCATTTTTCCTTTTCATATGATTATATCTAATTGTACCAGAGATTTGTTTTAAAGCATGCATATCAATATTTCAAAATCAAACTTAGATATTGGAAAAGAACATGAATTTTGAATTAGCCTCCATTTGGTCTGTGTATTACAGAAAGATTAACAGAAAAATGTGAAAATTATGTCAAAATAAACTTGAAATGGAGTTTCTTGTAGAAACTTTTCAGGCATAAGGAAATATTAGACAGGTAGATATCAAAATTACTCTGGAAATTAAATGAACATTGAGTGAAATAATGTTTGGGAAGACAGATTTTCCAGAGATAGTTTTGCAGATTGGACTCTCAGTGTCAAGGGTTCAAATGTCAGAAAGTCAAGCATGCAAGTAATTTTCTCTAGTAATGTTCCCAAGTAAAAAAGCCTTGATTTTACCTATTGCAAGCTGTTTTTGTCGAACTGCCTGTTTCTCAAACAGCTGACGGGTCTCTGGTAATAACCATTCCTCAGGAGAGAAATTTCCGGTACTGTTGAGTGTGCGTAGTAGACTAGTCCTTGTGTGACCTGCATACACAGAAAACATAATGCTCTTTCTATTTTACAACCAAATCAAATAGGGAGAAAGAAAAGGTGCATAAAAATATATACCTGAACAGGCAATAATTTCACCAGGTTCCATCCAAAGATATACAGTGTTTATAGTAAATATAATTGTAACATATTTTTTGGACAGGTTTTAAACACACAGGTTAGGTTTTAAACATAAACTCTTCTGGATACTGAAAATAACAAGAGGCCCCAGGGGCCTTAATAGCTCACCTGGTATTTTATTTTTTAATTAAAAACCTGCTGAGTACCATACAGGTTTATCAAAGGTGTACAAGAAACAAAGTTGCAAGAAGAACTACATATAAATCTGTTTTGGTGGGAAAGACACCAAGAAAATGAGATTCCATGTTATGTCCCAATTTTCCTCTATTTCCCCTATTGGTCCTCATATGCACCTTTTTATACAAATTAAACAAATTGATTTTTTCCCCCTAAGCATGCTTCAGACCACATATGGTTTAAATCTCTTCATTTGTACAGAAGGGAAGTTATTTTTCTCTATTTCCCCTATTGGGCCCCGCTCCTTGGCCAATGATGCTCCAGACCAAATTTGGTCAAAATCCTCTGAGCCGTTAATTATAAGGACTAGGTGAGCTAAAATTAATGAATTTCAGATGATTTCTAGCAAATCCGGCCTAACAACTGCTTTAGCAAAGTTAGTGTAGATATTTATAGCTTTCTCATTTTGTTATTCCTTTAAAAATAATGATACTATTTTCTAGCCAAATGGATACAATCACCATCACAACAAAACATAACAATACATAACTATATATCATTTTTATATATGTATTTGTAAGTAATAGTACATTGACAGTTAAAATATTCAGGGAGGCATAAAGATACATGGTTTATATAATGATCAGTCAGATTTAAATACAAACTAATAGCTGTAATAATATAATTATATTGTTCTGATGCTATTAATATGACCTTAAAAGACAAAGATTTAACATTTATCTACATGGCCTTTTTTCAAATATTCTGTTTGAGTCTAGGTCATTGATCAAGTATTGTTACAAAATTATCGACACAAAAACTAGGATTGGTACATCATCTAACCTGAAGTCTAAAGTGCTGGCCTAGGTGATGGATAGCAGTGATTGGGAGTCGGTACTCTTAAAACCCCCGAAACCAACTTTTATCTAGTTTTCATAGAAATGAAGATTATATGATCATGTTGGATATTGATCCAGCTACAGTTAGCATACTTAGTGGTAAGATAAGACGGCTAGATTTCACTGTACTGTAAACTTCTGTTGTATGTTTAAATGACCTGTTTCAATTTTATACATTTACTCCAAAAACTACATACACTGTACAACATTGTCATTTACATGTTTTGTCTTGTGATTGTAATTTGTGGGTTTTGTACAGGATATATGTTGTACAGGTACAGTACAAATTTGAACATCTTATATACACTAGTACAAACAACTAAATTTAGAATACAATGAACAATGACACAACAATGATTAAATGAAATGGTGGGACTGAACTAGAACTAGATGATTATAAACATATAGTAAAACCCTGCTAACTCAAACTCGTGGGGTGCAGATGATAAGTTCGAGAAATACATGGTATTCAACGAATCTGAGGTTCGCCAGACATCGTCATGTTTTGATCATGCAGGAACATGGGACGACAGAAAACATGAGCACTTAAATATCGTGATATAGATAAAAGAAGTAAAAAATAGTGTGGACAGTAGATAATAGAAGTACAATAGTGTGGACAGTAGATAACAGAAGTAAACAATAGTGTGGACAGTAGATAATAAAAGTAAACAATAGTGTGGACAGTAGATAACAGAAGTAAACAATAGTGTGGACAG